AATGCTTTTAAGTGGAAAAAATAAAGTGTAGAAAGTATAGATAGAATATCACTACTTGTGTACACATGAACATTATGCACATATATGCTTGCATGTGCTAGAAGATCTCTGGAAGATCTGTAGAAATTGGGCATAGGAACTGCCTCTGGGAAAGGCATCCTGGTGGTTGGGGATCCCAGAGGGAAAGGAGACTTGGATTTCACTATATAACCTTGCAGACTTTGAACACTGCACATGTACTATTTTTAAAAATTAAGTATCTTTAAAAGGATATTTTTTTAAAGTATCTTTTTTACTGTGTTAAAGTATATATGGATTGTAACTCTACATTTTAAAAAATCCCACTTTTTAATGTTTTTTTTTTAATCAGAAAATTAGTAGCATTGGGCTATAGTCCCACAAAACATTTATGTGCTGGATGTGGGCTGTCAGCACCATCCTCCTCAGGCAGGGAATAGGGATTTTATTATATGTTTAGGACAGGAATTTTATTGTGTTCATTTTTTTAATCTAGTATATAGCACATAGGAATTGTGCACTGACCTTTGTTTTAAAATGGAACCAGAATTTCTATATTAATTATGGATTCTAGTTTGCTGGCATTTGAGAGAGAAAGGAAGCTCTGACAATTAAATAATTCAAATTTCACCTGCAATGAGTACCACAAAATGCATGTGTATTGCAGAGAGAGAAGGTCCACTCAGTCTTCCTCATGGCATTGCAGGGGTTAACATATACAAAATAATACAAAGGAACATAAAGGGTAAAAAATAATGTTTCCCAATAAAGGATTCTGTAAAAATGAACTTCTCTTTCAGAAAGGCTTTCTTTATTTACTGATACATTTTCCAGAGAAACTAATTTGCAATCTGGTCAGGATGTGCTTATGAGCTAATACATTCATTTTTCTTACACACACACACATACACACACAAATTGCCTATCATCTAGCATGCAATTCAGAGAATGGAAATTGGCACAGGAACTAATTACAGTTCACAAAGAAAAAAAATCTGCTATTTTGATGAATATGTGTTTTCCTGGCGTTTCTGTTATTTCCGCTGGTAATTGCAGAAAATAGTTTGTAGTGGGAACAATTGTTACAGTTCTCTATGTATTTCTGTCCTAAGTCATGAGAAGGCAGTGTTCTTGGCAAATATTTTGGGATCCATCTGGAAAGAAGGAATGATGAAAACTCCCTAGGATAAGCTTTGTTGTTCCAGTGTCTCTCGTCTCTCGTGTCTTAAACTGTTTGTTAAATAAAAAAAATACATCTGATGGGCATTATGAAACTTGGAAAATTGCACCTGCAATTTCAGTTTTGAAGGAACAAAACTCATATAGTTCTTAAATATCTATTTGGAGGAAAGAAATATACAGAAAAGCTAGGAAATCATGTGCTGTGGGTTTGCTGGATGCAAGTTAAGGATCAATTCAGAAAGTCTAGCTCAGCACCAGCTGTTTCCTTTTGGAGGGTATTAGGGACATTCTTTGGCAAACTGCGTCTTGAAATTAAAAAAAAAAATCTATTCTCGGGTATCATATCATCCCAGAACCTACTGTTTCCCCAGCTGTTAGGGCATGGAGTTTTATGGGGCCCAAGGAATGTGAAAATAAAAGAAATGAAAGAAATATTTGTTTTCAAATAGCATGAAGTGCCAGTGTTTTATTGATTTATAATTGTGAATTTCCAAATAAGTCATATAATGTATTCTACAACGAGTTAAAAATCCTGCTAGCTACTGGCATGCATTTCAAATTTAAAACACGTTTTTCTATTCATTGAAGGTAATAAATGATCCTTGAGGCCCCTGGGGAGTCCTAAAACCCTTGACCCACTCATGAAGTCACCAAAATACTGTTTATTTTAAATAAAACAAAAATACAACTGAGCAAAAAAAATTATATTTTGAGTAGATTAATATTTATCTTGAAGTCTGGTTCTTGAAATGGGAAGAAATTAGAGTAATAAAAAGCTTATTAAGAAAATATGATCTATGTAGTTAATTATAGGATTTTGAAGTATTTTTCCTGCTCATTGGATATAAACTTCTTGTCCCTTGACACAGATACCACATTACTGATATCCTTATGTCTACCAGCTATAGGCAGGGGTACTGGAGAAAGAGATGCTTATGCAAATAACTGGGCAGAAGTTGGAAAGGGAGAGGGAGCATTAAGAGGACAAGTATGAGTGGGTAAAAGAGGGAAAATCTTCAGTGCAATAACTTGATTTGATAAGTGATAGACCCAAAACTAGAGCTCAAGATCCTGAAAAGAAAAAGATAGGAAATGGTCAGTTGGAGGAGGCTCTGCCTGGGGTCAACCTACTGGTGAAGAGACTCAGAACAAAGACTGGATGTTTGCTGGAGCCTCACAAAACCAGGACTCTGCTGATGCTTTCAGATGATAACACCAGGGCTTACCAGAGAGCCTGCCATGTAGCAGGGGTTCATAAATATTTGTGGGATATGTGAGTGAAAATATGAATGGGCAAATGAATTTTGCACCCTCAGAGAATCTCTTCCCAGAGAAGACAGTTGGTAGCTGAGAGCTCAGACTCTGGAAACTGAAGACCAAACTCTGCCTCCTGGCTGTCAATATGGCAGGATCTGAGGAATGAAAATTAGGTCTCTGTGTTCTGTCAAAGGAAGGGGCCCTGTCTCTATAAAGTTGGGGGTGATGATGACATTTACCAATGTAGGACTTCACTAGAGGATCACATGAGCTACTACAGGCAAATGATTTCAATACTTCTGGTATATTCTCACATTTCCTACCGAAGGACCATAGGATGCCGACTCTGCTCTGGTCAAAGGGACACAACCATCGACTTCAACCAAAAGCAAGTTCTGCCCTCAAATTCCATTTATGGCAGGTATGTGTTGTATTACACAGCTCTGGTTGGGAGAAATATCAAATCCTTTCTTTTCTGAAGAAAATGAACTCAAATCCAAGTCTCCATTTATTGAGGTATTAAAATATTAAATCTTGGTTTCATGTGTCTCCTTCTTTAGAAGACCATAATTATCCATAGGGCTAGTATGCTGCCTGGGGAAGAGGGAACATGCCCCTGAGCACCAAGGTGAACCCTGGCCAAAGATGTGGGGTCTGCTAGAAGGTCAGCAGAGTTCCTTGATTCGGGATTGCCAGTTGCAAGTTCTGGCAAGCATCAAAGGCTTTCACAAATCACTTTTCACAGATCACCAGCCACCACTTCTCTAGGGACACAACATTTGAGCTGCAGAAGGCCAAGGAACAGCCATACAACAAGACAAGATAGCATTTGGATCATAGTACTTTGATAGAAAGTCTGGCCCATTGAAGAAAATATGGGGCACCCAGGACTTGCAGTTGCTTAAGATCATTATGTGACTTCTGAGTTGCTATGAAGCATAATCAGTCTGGGAACTCTTTCCTGGCCACCTTAACTCACAGCATCCCTAGAATGAGGAGCACAAAAGCCCTAAAACAAAAGCAAGACTGGTGAGCTAGAAGTGTCTGGAGGCTGAGGGTAGGGAAAGTCCCAGGTATGGTGTTAATGGACTCCATCTGGCTCTGTCTTTGCCTCCAATGGGGCTCTTCTCAACAACCTCTCTGGCTGAATGGCAGATGTTGAAGGGACCCAGCAAGGCATGGGGTAAAGCCCATGCAGGCCATGGCACCCAGGTTCCTTGGGGCTGCTCCTTGGAAACATGACTCAAGCATTGGGTTATGTGACTTTCCCCATCTTCCTTCCTACTCTTTCAAGCTCTTAGTATACTTTCCAAGGGTTAGTCCTGCACTTGAAGATACGGAGGCACAGAGGGGTCAGGCAATTTTCCCAAGCAGATCCTATACAAATTAATCTCTAATCCAGTTGGGGCTGCAAAAGAATAATTGAGCCAATCATGGTTAACATTTTAAAGTATTTTCCTATTATGTAATTTTTCTTTATGACTTTTTACCTAATTTTGATAATAGATAATTAGCTATTATTTTATATGGCAAGAAAACCTTTGCTATAACAATTTTTCCAAGGAGCAACTTGACACTAGGAGTAGCTAATTGACCTGCTTGTGGTCAGTAAGTGACGGAACCAGGACCAGGAGCTGAGAGACCAGACCACAAGGTCAGCACCCTAGCCAGTGGTTGATAATCAGGGTAGTAGTGTCTTCCTAGATGCATTCTTTCATTACAGACAGAGCATCAATTTGGGTCTGGACTTCAGCTTCCACATTATTTTTTCTTTCACAACCTAAAGGTCTCCTTAAACTCTACCTGTAATCTTAGGCTTGCCTTGAATTATCACAATTATCCCACCGACACCACCCTGGTACAGGTCCCTGCCTACATCTTGAGTTCTAGATATCCCTAGGTTAGGGGCTTCCAACTGTGCTTTGGGTAGGTATCATTGACCTGCAAACTCCAAAGACTTCCAACTCACGGTCTCTATTCTGACCTCCTTTCTTCCCTCATCGATCACTGCCAATTAGTATTAAATTTATGAATTCAGCACTGGTTGAGTACCCACCATGTGCAGACACATTCTTTGTAAGGATTTAGCAACAAGCAAAACAGAGTCCTGCTTTCATGAGAAGTATAATCTCTCAGGTATGATTGACATTGGACAGGTAATGACACAAAAGGACCACTGTCATAAAATGAGAGCCATAAAGTACTAAGATAGCTGACCTAGGCCAGGGACAGGGTTCAGCTGAACCCTCCTGAGGAGCTTTTGAATGGCAGTTTCATTTGTACACCAGACTAGAGTTTACACACCTGCAATTGCATTAATTTTTCCAGTTTCTATGCCTCCTCATGTTCTCATATGAGGAGGTTCTGGCTTGTCCCTTCCTAATCTACATAGCAATAAATCACAGACTATTCTCATATAAGGATACAACACAAAAAAATATGACAAAACTAGGGCCTGTTATAAGCACATATTTCTGTTTGTGGTATATTATTTATCCAAATTGAAAAAATGTTTTGTCAATTTTGTTCCTTCAATTCACACCTTTCCAAGAACACAAAACTTTTATAATAGGCTACTAGAAACGGTGTCACATAAATGTTGTCACCTTAACAACAAACTGGCACACAAATCTTAAGCATTAAAAAAAATCATAAAAACATGTATTTGGAAATACATATCTTGTTGACTCTTAATTCAATTGTTAAAATGTGGTTTGCCCATCTAAACTGTTTCAGCAGGAATCTATTTGTGGACTTTCAAGAAGTATTTAGGAATCCTTGTGTCTCTTGGCACCCCACTGAACTCTTGGTGGGCTGTGCTCACTCAGGAAAGCTTCAAATTCCAGAGGGTCCCAGTTCCTTTAATGGCTTGGAAACATCTGTTGTTCTGTGTTGGCCAGGTAAAGACATGATGGGGTAGGCATTTCTGCAAATCCCTGGTGCTCTGCCTGGGGAGAGAGGATCACCATGGAGCCGGCTCAGGTGGGGGAAGAGAAAGAGAGCAGAGGATTAGAGGAGAATACAGTGTGACAATGTAAAACTATAGTTTTGGCTTCTGGCCAAAGACAAGAAAGAGCCTGATTATATTGCATATTTTAGTATTCTCTTTCTATTTCATTGAAAACGAGGATACAAAACCTTCTCTGTGTCATAAGAAATCAATTTCTTAGCTGCCATTTCTGCTTAGCACAATATTTTTTCTGCTATATCCTTTAAAATGCCATTTGCTAGTGTGATTACAGAATGAATTCCAATCCATGTTTAATTCTTAAAAATCATCTTTTGCTTTTAAAGGGTACAATAAAAGGCATATGGATGAGCATATTAATTACAGCTACTATTTCCAGGGCTTGAATGAAATGAAGTATTTATGTTAATATTATGTGTGACTGAGCATACAAGTCTAGAAATATTCCTGATTACCAAATTTATCTCTTCTGCAACAACAAGAATATAATTGAAACAATAAATTATCCTAATAGCACATTCCATTCAGGTTACCTTTCTAAGGTTCAATTGTTGCTCTTTGAATCAGTTATAGAATTTACACTGTCAATCATAACACTTAGGCTATGATTGAATTAACCATGATGTTTAGCCACATTCTCTGGATCTGCCTCTGAATTGATTTGGAAGGTCCTAAATGCATCCAGTTGGACACCTGGGAGAATCAAACCTTATAAAAGTACTCCTTCTTTACTTGCAGCAAATCTCTTGCAATCAGTCCTTTAGTTAGATATTGGCATGGAGGAGAGGAGGAGAAGGAGAGGAGAAAGAAAGGGGAGGAGGAG